TAGATTCATTCATAGGAAAATGGATACATATTGAAGATATACTCCTAAGTGAAATAAATAAGTCACACATGTGTAAATACCGAATAGTTTCCCTGGTGTAAATAATCTGCAACAATGCATAAGATTCTAATAACATTACTGACATTTAGAAATGGGAACAAAGGAGCTAAAGGTGTAGGGAAGGTGGGATGGGTAGGGGAAGAGTAAAAAGGGAAAAGAAAAAAATGTGAGAGAATGAAAAGATGAAAATAAAGTGTTTGTAGATGGGGAGGGGAGGAGGGGGTGAAGGGAGGGCAGAGGTAAGGGGAAAAAATGAGAATCAAGACTTGTCATGTAGAGGTACAAGATCCCAACAATGAATGTAACTGTACTGTATCCCTAAAATGTACCAATAAACTCAATTAAGGCTGAAAAAAACAACAAAAAAAAAAGAAATCAGAGCAGAGATGAGATCTCCAGGGAAACAGGAAAGAGAAAAGAACAGCTAGCAGGGTAAGTCAAACCTCGGGTGGAGCCAGACTAATAGAAACGCTTCCGGACTAGTAGAAGCTCTTTGCTTCTAGCCTTTGGGCTCTATGAGATACGCTGGTGTCCTTGTGATAAATTCTCCTTGAAAGCCAAGTGTGGTGGCACATGCCTTAATCCCAGCACTCTGGAAGCTGAGGCAGGAGAGTCACCACCAGCCTGGGCTATATAGTGAGTTCAAGACCAACCTGGACTACATAGCAAGATCTTGTTTCAATTAAAATTCCCTCAAGGCTTAATCTAGCACAGGGCAGTTCCTGTTTGCTTGCCATCAGAAAGGTCTCATGTAACACACCATCCCCATTATGGTGCCGTCACCCAAGATGGCCACCTGGGTGCCTGTTCATTCAGTCATTGATGAAACATTCCTGTAGTTGCCAGTTCATGCTGGGCACAACAAAGGCCCCTCCTAGCTTCTTCTCCTTGCCCATCCCCATAACCCCAGCCCTGCTCAGGTTTACATCTGCCTCCTCACAGATGTCCCTGCCTCTTCCACACCCCTGCTAGTCCACCTGCCACAGAGCAGGGAGAGCAGTTCCTAAAGCTCAGTTCTGGTCATTTTCTTTTGCTGCTTAAAAAACTCTGATGCTAAAGCTGATGGGAAGAAGCATCTCAGAAAACAGGCTGAAAATTCATCATGGAAATTACAGAAAGCAGAAAAACAAAAACGTCCCTCCATACCCTCAGAACAGAGTCCAACCTCCTTATCCTGGTCTTCCAGGCCCTCTGTCACTTGGCTTTCTGTGACCCCTTTAGCTTGGTGCCCCATGACGCCTGCTTGGCTTCTCCAGTGCAGAACGAAGTTCCAGGTGAGGCTCTGCTGTTTTGCCTCTTGGGCCACCTTCTCCTGGCTGCCCACTTCTCAAGGTTTGCTTAGCTGAAGGTGGCCCCTTCAGGAAGCCCTCTGACTCCCCACAGCTTGCCCATCTCTCTGTGTTGTCCTCTGTCTCTGCCCTTATGTGCACCCCACCCGCTCCTGGCCCATGAATTCCGTGAGGTCAGGGGCCAGGTGTGACCCCATTCTGTGTCCCCAGGGCTCAGCCCAAGCCCAGGCAGTGATGAGCCCCCCAAAATGTTTGCTGAAAACCAGGGATTTAGCTCAGTGGCTCTGAGCCTGCCTGGAAAGCCCAAAGTCCTGAGTTTGATCCCTGATGCTGGAAAAAAAAATGTTTGCTGAGTGTCTGAGAGGTGTTCTGGACACAGCTGACATGGCAGACCGCTGCAAGGCAGGTGGGTTGCTGACCCCATGGCCAGTATCAGGAGCATGGAGGCAAAGTGGGGGACCAGAATGAGGAGGGATGGTGTGGCAGTGAGGGAGTAGAGTCATTGGGCAACACCTTTTCATAGCCAAGGTCGCTGCCCTTTCTCTGTCCTTCCTCATACTGTTCAGGGCAATTCTCTTGTCCTTTCTCCTCTTCCAGGCCCTTGCTGAGCATTCTTTTTTGGGAATGTGACTCCAAATCTCTCCCTAAGAGTCCCCAAATTTCCCATGTCTCCAAATCTTCCTAGGTATCCCAGAATCTCCATATCTCCCCATCAAATATTAAACTTTTCCTTATGACTAAAGCTGCATTAATTTCCCCAAATTCCATTTCAAAAAACTCTTTCTCTGCCCCTCGCCCAGGAAGAGGGTGGCAAGCCCCTTACCTAGGCCTTCTCCAGAGTGGGGAAGCTGGTGTTGGTCTCTTGCAATGGTCACCAGGGCAGAGGGAGGACAGATTTCTCCTTTATACTGTTACCTCTCCACCCCTTGTACCTCCCTCACACAGCTGCTCAGAAATGTGACACTCCCCCATCTATTTCTGGATGTTTCCTCAAGACTCAGGAACACTAGCCTCTGCCCAGTTTGACCTGGGCCTGTGTTCCTCCCACAAAAAAGGAAAGCCCTGTTGTCTGAGGGAAGGTAGGCTGAAGCGTGGAGGATCTCAGCTGGCACAACTGCCTCCTCCCTGGGTGGGGTCCTTTCTCCAGGCAGCCCAGGAGAGGAAAGAGGTGACTGCCACACCCCTAGCCTTGAGCCATCTCCTTACCTTTTGTTTCTTTCTTGTGAACCTCAAGATTGGCCAGAGACACAAGGACAGATTCGGACTAAAAGACCCTGGATTCTGTATCTCAGCTCCAGCCTGACTGGCCCCTGCCTTATGATTATATTTGATTCTACCTCTTGGGCCCCTGTAGAAGCCCCAGGTCCTAGGATGGGAGAAGCGATTCCCCAAGGACAGTAGGTGTAGAGAGGACAAAGCAATGGTCCCAGTAAGTCAGGCTCCAGGGGCTGTCCCAGCAGGCCAAGCTGCCCCCACACAGCAGCTGCCCCAGCAACTGCAAACACTCTGGTCCCTGCTGGGAGAGGGGTAGGCAGGTGTAGGCAAGGTGCTGTTTTTCCCAAGAACAGTGAACTGTAAAGTGACTCCTGATTTTCTCATTGAGGAGGGCCTTGGGGTGACCATTCTCATTGGAAGGGGGTAAAAGAGCTTGTTTTGAAGCTATTTTCTGCGAAGCACTCTGTTTGGGGGGATGCTACTCTGTTCACCATCCTCCTCCACACTTGGTCTTGGACACTTTTCTGCTTCCTCTTTGGTCTTCAGGAAGGGTTTGGGGGCAAAAAACAAACAAACAAACAAACAAACAAAGCATGATTGTGGGCGAAGGAAACCCTTTATTTGGCTGACAATCAGAGCGGGTGGGGACAGGGATGGGATAAATTAATGCGCCAGACCAGGATGGATTCCTTTGGATAGGTCTAACCTGCGATGCCCATCCCCGTCCCAGCACGCAGCATCTGTTAGATCCTGACACTCAGGAGCCCTGCTCTGAGGGAAGGACACCCGTCCTCCAGGATCAGGGTGATGCCACCTACTGAATACTCAGCTGGCCCCTTCTCCGGTTACCTCTAATGGGGCGTCCAAAACTCAGAGCCAGGTTATTTATAGACTGGCCCAGAGGAGCTGGGTGAGGGAGCTAGTGTTTACAAACATGGGGTCACCAGTCTGAGATCTCAGCGAGAAGGTCTAGGGAAGGGGCAAGGATGGACCGAGACCCCAGACGAGAACTCTGCCCCTGATTCAGCTCTACCCTGGGGAAAGGGCAGAGGACAGAGAGGAGGGAGGGGAGTGGGGGCTGCGCAGATGTTGGAGCACGTGACCCAACTGGTAGGCCACATGCAAATCGTATGCAAATCAGAGCGCCGAAGTGGCCACTCTTGGCAAGCGGCAGCCCCTCAGGGCGACCCTCGCGCGGCTCCCCGGCCGAGAGGGCGGGCCGGGTCAAGCCCCTCTGAGTCAGCGTCTCACAAGTTCCTCCCCCAACTTGGCCTGGCGCGGAGCCGCGGAGCGTGCTAGAGCGGAACCACAGTCCTTGGCAGCGCAGTTTCGGCGCTCAGCCCCTCACTCCGCCACTCCGGCTCCCCACGCCCCGCGTCCGTTGTTGTGCGACAGGTGTCGGGTTACCGCCCAGGGGCTATAGTTAGCAGCGGGGACTTTGTGTGGCAATCCTCGGAGAGCGCCTTGCCTGCCCGTCCGACTCTAGCCCCCTGCCAGCCGCAAGCACCAGGGCTCCCTCTCGCTCAGCCCGCACAATCTCCAGGTGGGTCCTCGGTCCCTGACCCCGTTTTCCAGGCGGAGGCCCACGACCGCCCCACCTGTACAGTGGACCGAAGCATCCCGGGGCCTGAGACTGTGGGCCTGGAGCATCTGCGAGTCTGGGGACCCGGGACTCGGGTTTGAGCTAGGAAGAGTGAAATCAAAGGCTCCGGCCACCGCTGGGGCCACGCCTTCGACCACGCCCACGCCAGCCTGGGCCCTTGGACCCGGACCAAGGATCCCTCAAGTGGTGGGAGGAAGAGGGTTGGAGCCCATCGAAGTCCGCACTCGACCCCTGCAGGTCTCACCTTCACCTGGACTTCACCGTGCAAGACTCCAGGGATGATGCTGGAGGCTCTGCTGATCATCCTCAGCTGCCTCGGCCCCCACACCCTCTGGCAGGTAACTCCCAGAACCATCTCTTGCCACCAAGGAGCCTGTTAGGGCACAGATCCTGAGGAGGTGGACTGGGGGGTGACGCCTGAGATGGCTCCTCCATTCCACCGAACCCTGCTCTCAGGAACTTCCATCTCTGTGGAACCTCAAGTTCCCACTCCCTGTCCCAGAACCCATGAGCATACGCAGCTCCTCCTGTGATCCTACCTCCTTCATGTCAGCCCTCTCTAAGGACTGCCTCCAACTTTGTCCTTCCAAAACCACTTTGGTTACCTGTGTGCTGCTGTCTGCACACTGCCCCTCCACGCTCGGGATAAAGGCTTTTTTTGGAGGGGGATTGTTGTTGTTTTGAGACAGGGTCTCGCTATATTGTTCAGGCTGGTCTTGAACTTCAACTCACTATGTAGCCCAGGATGGCATCAAACTCATGGCAATCCTCCTGCCTCAGCCTCCCAAATGCTGGGATTATGGGTATGAGCCACCACACCCAGTAGGATAAAGGCTTCCATCTGAAGCAGGGGAAAACTCAGTAATCTCAGAGCTGGCAGTGATTTGGAGTAGTGGTTGAGCACTCATAAAGACTTCCCAAAGGATGAGAGGGAAAGTCTGAGGAGGTTGGGAATAATGGGGTCAAGTAGTTGGACACTGAACACTGGCTGTGTTTGTTTATCATCAGCAGACTGAATCATAGAGCCAGAAAGTGCCTGGAGTCATCTAGCCCCACCTACCCACTGAGTACAGAAACATTTCTAACAATGACACCTTTTAGGTTGTGCAGAAGTGACCTTCACACTATCCTCACAATATCCCTGTGAGGTTGGAAGTATCCTTATTTATAGGTGGAAAACCTGAAGCTCAGAAAAGTTGAGGCTTGCCAAGATCTCACAGCTATTAGGTGATGTTTGGATCCGTGTTGGTTCAACTCCAGAGCCTGTGTTTATTCTTCTCCATAGGCCCTTGCCAAGTTGCATACACCAGATGTTTGGGCAGAGAAATGAGATTCTGAACTGGACACAGTTGTGCATGCCTGTAACCCCAGCCATTTGAGAGCCTGAGGCAGCAGGATCACAAGTTCAAGGCTGGCTTGGGCAACTTAGCCAGGCCATGTCTCAAAATAAAAACTAAGAAGGGATGGGGATATAGCTTAGCGGTAGAGTGCTTTCCTAGCATTTCCAAGGAGGTTCTGGGTTCAGTCCCTAGAACTGCCCCCAACAAAAGGAAAAGACAGAAAGAGAGAGAATAGGAAAGGATGAAAGAAAGGAAAAAAGGAAAGAAAGGAGATTCTGTGTTTTTGAGCTGGCCTGCCACCAGGATCCCTATCTAGTGCTATGAATTTACATTCTTTCCTATTGTGGCTCCTCTCTTCCTTGCGTCCCTAGGCCCAGGCTGTTCCTATCCTGCCCCTGGGCCTGGCTCCAGACACTTTCGATGATGCCTATGTGGGCTGCTCGGAGGTCATGGAAGAGAAGGCAGCCGCCCTGCTAAAAGAGGAGATGGCCCACCATGCCCTGCTGCGGGAGTCCTGGGAAGCAGCCCAGGAAGCCTGGGAGTACCAGCGTCGAGGGCTCACTCTGCCCCCTGGCTTCAAAGCCCAGCATGGAATAGCCATTATGGTCTATACCAACTCATCTAACACCTTGTACTGGGAGCTAAACCAGGCTGTGCGCACGGGCGGTGGCTCCCGGGAGCACTACATGAGGCACTTTCCCTTCAAAGCCCTGCATTTCTATCTGACTCGAGCCCTACAGCTGCTGCGGGGCAGTGGAGGCTGCAGCAGGGAGCCTGGGGCGGTGGTCTTCCGAGGCGTAGGCAGCCTTCACTTTGAACCCGAGAGGCTTGGGGACTTGGTCCGCTTTGGCCAGTTTGCCTCCAGCTCCCTGGATGAGGCAGTAGCGCGCAGGTTTGGTAATGCCACCTTCTTCTCTCTAAGGACTTGCTTTGGGGCCTCTATCCAGGCCTTGTCTGTCTTCCCCGAGGAACGTGAAGTGCTGATTCCCCCCCATGAAGTCTTCATGGTCACTGGGTTCTTCCAGGATGGAGCCCGGAGCATAGTGACTCTCTGGAGCTATAATCAGACCTGCAGCCACTTTAACTGCGCCTATCTAGGTGGTGAGCTGTGCATGGGGGATGCAGGATTGGCAGGGTGGGTGGGAGAAATAAACCAGGATGTCCCCACATAGTCCCCAGAGTCTTCAGGAGACCCACTTGGTTAATGGTGAAAGTTTGAGCCTGGAAGTGAGCAGCAACTGTCCTCTGAGACTCGGCCTTCCAGGTCCACGAATATTCTCAGATGAGCCTATCTGTTCTCAAAACTGCATCTGCTATACACTCACGTAGACCAGAGGAGCCTGGTTAAGGAATCTGGTGTGCAGAGCAAAGATTCAGGAGTACAGCTTTAGATCTCAGGAAGCCCCGGCCTTGATGGGGTTGACAGGACACAAATGTGCTGTCCCAAGGGCTAGAGGGAAATGAATGGAGGAGTGACTGGGTATGGGTGGCAACAGGAATGGATAGGCAATCGGAAAGACTTCCTGGAGAAGGGAAGAGGAAGGGAAGTCAGAAGTTTGTTATTAGGTGAAGGGAAAGATAGAGGGAGAGGGGGAATGGTCCCTCCAGGACCTGGTAGGACATTGGGCACATGACTCACCGAGCTCATCGAGCTGTCTGTTGCAGGGCAGAAGAGGCGGGGCTGTGTGTCTGTTCCAGGTGGGTCACCTTCCTGCCTCCTCTGTCAGCTGCTTCAACTCCCCATAAGGCTTTCTGAGGCCTTCACTGTTTTTTTTTCTTCTTTCTCCAGCAGTAGGGCAGCCAGAGTCACCCTACCAAGGGGCTTTCCCTGTGCTTCCCTGGAAGACCCCATTCTTGGCCCCTGGGAGGTTCCAACTCTCAGAAGCTGGGCCCTGAAAGCCAACATTGCCACTTAGGAATCCTGGGAACTGGTGAGCTTCATGTGAAGAAGACGTGCTTCAAATGGCCTCGAGAAGTAAAAGCGTGGTTCCGGACCTAGTCCTAGCAGCCATCTCCCCAGTCCAGGTTTGGGGAGACCTGAGGCTGTGGCAGGGTTGAGGGAGTCCCACTGTATGGTGGGGACTTTCTGGGACAAGCAAGGGAAGTACTGTGTTGGCCACTCAATTAAACCGTGTTGTAGTGTGGAGACATAGAATTTGATGACTGGTTTATTCTCTGACACCAGACCATCTGCCCTTGCCAGGCAGGGAATGAGGGACTAAAAAAGAGTAACTTCCTGATCACTCCTAGACATAGTCCCTTGTCATATGCTGTAGCTTGCAAATCCAGAAGCTTTAGCAACTAGAGGGTCCTCACAACAACTGTGAAGGGGACAGATGAGTTCCTGTCTGCGTGATGACAAGGCCAAGGAAGAGCACAGCTTGCTCAAGGGCAGACAGTTAATGTAGAAGCCAGGCATCTTTCTTCCTGAGCCTACTGCTTCCTAGTTCAGAACTGTTTCCACTAAAGATCTAAGGAAGCTCAAAGTAGAATTCTGAGTCCAAGACCCCTGGAATTCCAGAGCAAGCCATTTCTCTCTGCCCTGCTCACACAGGGTCCACTGAGGGAAGGAGTGTAGGGAGGATTTGAAAGCATCAAGAGACAAGGATTCTCACCCACTCCAGAGCCAACCGCCATCTACATGGGGAACTTTATTTTATTTATTTTGGGGGGGTACTTTATTGAGGAAGGAAAGCAGCATGGGCTCCTAAGTGACACCCCATTCAACTAGGCTGCCGAACTCTGCAACAAAGTTAGGACTCCCCCTTGGTCCCCAAATCCTTCTCTGGGGACAGGTCCCCGGTCCCCTCTGCTTCTTGCTCCTTGTGCACCAGCACATGAGTGGGGGAGGAGAGCCCGTCCACTCCAGAAGCCAGAGTGCCAGCCTCTCCCACACCCTGCACCCCAGTTTCTGAAGAGTCTTGGGTCTCCACAATCCCTGGCATGATCAGCTCTGCGGTCTCAGAGATGGAGGGGCCCAGGTTCTGGAAGCTGTTGCGCACTCGGGTGATGTAGCGGCTGAGGATGCTGGCGCCATCGGGAGGCCGGGGTGTCCCTCCTGCCTCCACGGTCCGCCGTACACTGGCCACCTCACTTTGCAGCCTCGATACGGTCTTGGTCAGTTCTGTCAGTCTGTTGCCCAAGTCTGGGGAGACAGAGCATTGAGGGGAAGTCTTTCAGAAAATGAGCCTGCTCAGTACTTCTCTCAACAGAACCCCAGGGACACTGTCTGGGGGTTTCCAGGGAGGACAGAGAAGAATGAGGGTCAGGTGGACAGTAGAATCTGGGGCAGATGAATCTGAATAGTGGTGGGAAAGTGGTGACTTAGGTGATATAAAGTTTTGTAGGCCAAAAAAGGGGTAGGGAGTCCTATGGAGTTTCTAATGAGCAGAGATCTATACGTTCACCCCTGTCAGCCCTCTCCCTAGTCTATACCTGGCCAGCTCCGACCCATCTGTCAGGTCCATTCCACATTCTATATGACCTCTCTCCAACTTCTCCCTTTCCAGTCCTCAAAAGCATAGCTCCTTCTGTCCTTTGGCTCACACTCCAGCCTGTGTCTGCCTGGCGTGATGGTCTGATCATTTCTCCCTATCCTGCAAGCCTCGCTTATGTGTACACAGTGTCCCCTCCCTCCAAACACAGCCTGGAACAAGGGAGGACACCGCAGTGAGTGCCGGGTGAATGAGTAAAACATGCACGAGTGAATGAGAGAATAATGAATACAGGAACCAGGGCAGGAAAATAAGTGGTTAAATGAAGTGAATAAATACGTGCCCAAATGGGCCAGAGGGACCACACAGTTCAGGTTATGTCTTCCAAGGACAGGATCCCATGGGGCCACCAATAAGTGCAGGCCAAAGGAGGGGTATGGTCTGGGTGTGGGGAATTTATCCCACTTGACCAAGCAACAGGATTAGAGGTGAACAACTAACCTTTCCTCCGGGTCTCCTCGAACTCACGCCTGGCAGTCTCTATATAGCGCTGCACCAGAGCCTTGATGACGCGAAGGCGGTAGGATCCACGCTCTGCCTCCCCGGGCCCAGCCCGTGCCCCTGCCCCTGCCCCTGGGTTGGCCTGGAAAGGGAAGATAGCAGGGTGAGGGAGATTCTCCATCCCTAGTCTTCCTCTAATCTGTGTCCAGCTCTGGGAATGAAAGACCAAGGAAAAGTCTGTGCAGACTTTTTTGTCCCTGTAGGCCATGCACCTAGACCCTGGTCTACCTCCATCTCACAGCGGAGTCCTGGGAAGTAGAACAACAGGGACCATAAGTTAGGGAAGACCTAACTGAGAGAGCCTGGGGTTGGAAGTAAGGCTGTGAGGTGAGGAGAGGAGGAGAACCCTATATACACCTGGAAGTCCTGGAAGTTTCTTGATCTGAATTAAGAAGCGGCTGTCATGCCCAGACAGAGGGGTTAGGATACAGATAATGAGAGGTAAATGAGCAGAGTAGATGCACACCCTCCTCTCTCAAGCCTCTGTTAGACTTTTAATTCCCTAACTGGTGGGGCATTTAACCTTGGCTTTTTAATTTTTTGAAAAACATTCCATCACATCTTTGGCACAGCTCATCTGAAGCTTAGAGGGCATCTGTGCACTGAAAGTAGCAGGGCATAGACCTCTGTTAAGGCTGCATGACACGGTTAGAAATTTAGGAATGGCCAGAGCCAGGAAGAGGGAAAAAAGGCACATGAGAGTGGGAACTGGGGACAGGCTTTCCAGGAAACATACCTGGAAAGACAGACACGGCAGGGGTGTGCATGTAAGCGGGTAGTGTGAGGAATGCAGTTGAAGCCTGGTGCGAGGGGGCCAACAACATGCAGGTGAGGTACTTACAAAGGTGGGGATTGGCGGGTAGTCTGGTTTCTCGGTTTTGCAGCAGGAGCAGCAACAGCAGATGAACCGGAAAATTGTCCTGAGAGATTTCAATAGTGGGAATGTTAGTTGGGGACAGCGCTGAGGAAATGGGGGCAGGAGCTGGGTGCTTGGGGTCTGGGGGTGAGAGCCTTGAGGTCATTACCTGAGAAGGTAGAAGAAGGCTTTGGGGGTGGGCAGGATGTTGAAGGGCACAGGCAGTGTCAGGCCCTCTCGGAAGTAGGACAGGTAGAGTTTGGAGCGAGCAAACTTCCACTCCACGTCAGCATCATCCTGGGGGCCGGGAGGGAGGAGGCTGTGCAAGGTCTACTTTGACGCCCGGGCCCCTTGCTCACGCAGTCTGTCTCTCTCCCCCCAGTGTGCCCACCACTCTTTTCCTCATCCTTACCTCCAACCTCATCTCCCGCCCACCCCACCCCCCGCTTGTCTCCTCCTGTCCTCTTTCCCCATTATCTTTCTTCCTCTAACTTCCAAAGCCTGCCAAGCCTATTCTCCAGCCTGCATACCCTAGCCCATCGCCTTCTCTCTGCCTCCTCGTGTTCCCATCAAGCCCCAAGACAACAACAGTGGGGGCAGAGCAGGAAACCAGGTGCCTCAGCTCTTTGCCCCCTATTCCTCCCTGTTCCTTTCTCGCTCTTCTTCCAGGCCCTAATCTGGCCTCAGTTCACGCACCTCAATCTTCTGGAAGGAGTTGGTGATCATGGCAATGAGCATGTTGAGCAGCACAATGACCATGACGATGGTAAAAATGCCATAGAGGGCCCGGCCCACGAATTCAGGCACCAGAAACTGAGGCATGTCCACCACTTTGTGCTCTTCCATGCCAAACATGGTCCAGAACAGAAACTGGAAAGTCTCATTGAAACTGGCCAAGGAAAGGATAGGAAATGGGAGTGGGGGAGGAGCCTGTGCTCCACCCGGCCACACTCCTCACCCTCAAGGACCCAGCCAAAGGTGTCATGTGTCCATGGAGCCCTTGGGGCCACTCTGACCCACACAGACACTTGAGCTCCAACCTTCATTCTTTTGGTCAACCAACGTTTCCTGAGTACATAATGCCATCGGTGCTAAGGACATGTGAGTGAATGAGACAAGTAGAGTCCCTGTCCCCAAGGACCTTATGTCCTAGGGTGTGGGTGGGATGGCCAGAAGAGACCGGCTTGTGTGAGGTAAGTGGGGATCTTGAAGAGCAAAAACAAAGCTCTAGGGTCTGTGGACAGCAGGAAGCTATGATGAGTGCTAAGCAGATTTACATTTGATTTACATTTGAAAGGATTGTTTTGGTGGCTGTGGGTAGACTGCAAGAGAAAGAGATGCGTGCGTGAAGGCCTGATGAGAAGTGCCACAGTCTAGGTGGGAGAGGATGGTGGTATGGAGCAGACTGATAGCAACTCCCATGCCACCTCTACCAGGGAGGAAGCCCTTGCTGAACCATCTTCCTTCCCTCCAGCAGAATGTGTTTATCGTTTTCCCTCTTGTTGGATTTATTTGTGACTCTGCCTTGTTTCCTCCATCTCAGCACTAGTTCAGGCACACATTACTGGGACCTGACAATGGGGCTCTGATGAGCCTGTCTCTTGTTACTTTGCTCTCCACATTGCGCCAACAGTGTTCTTTCTAGACGCTAAACTGACCCAATCTGTTATACCTGTGCTTGTCAACCTCCAGATGCTCCTAGTTACCCTCAACCACGTGTCTATTATGCAAACTGCCTAAGATGTTCTGCAAAAATACTTTTGGTAACACTCATGACTGAACAGCCCAGGGTGGCCCCCAGTAGAGTGGTACCGCTTGCACCCACAGACAGGCTGGAATGAGTAGTTACTGTGCCTGGCACTACTATTCACAGTTTAAACTGTGAAAGCTCAGTTCCTTTATAGTACTGACGTGAAGTCGGGCCAACAGTTCAAGTATTATTTGTGAGAAGACTGAATAAAGTTTCCATATGCACTGAAACCACGAGAAAGTCTTGACCTTTATCTGCAGGCTCAAGTGAGAATCCTTTAGCATCATCATTAAATCATTACATAACTGTATTCATGAAGAATTTATGACTGGGCCGCTGATGGAAAGTCACCAGAGTTCCCTGTACCTTCTCTGAAGTCCATAACCCTTCCAGGTGGATCCGGATTTTCCCTTCTCCGTAAAGCTCTTCCTCACCATCTGAGACCGATGAAGGGGCTTCCCTCTGGGCACCCCCAGCATATGCCCTCCTTTTCCTAGCTCTTATTTTGTCAAACTGA